CCCCAAAACCCCAAAACCCCAAAACCCCATACTGAGTGAGTGGCCTGAAAAGTCAAAATTTCCATAAATGGTTTGTTAAGTCATGTAAGAAATTCCAAGGAGCACTATCCTAAGAAGTCCTCGCTCGATGACTAAATTATCTTCTTCACACAAAAACTCCTAATTTATTCAAAAAGTGTTTATTGGAAATTCTCATTGAAAAAATAGTTTTTAAGTCTTGACTTGTAGTCCTTTGTTCTTCAGATTATTCCTTGACTATTTCGAATAGAATGAACTCAGATTTTGAGTTGCTTGATGAGATCGGGGCATATTCTGTATAGCTAAAGGGAACTGGATTAGAAATAGTTTAAGAATAACCAGAACAGAGAATCTTATAGAAGAAATTAATAGTAGAGTGGGATAAGATGAGAATTAATAGATGTATTTACCTTCTGACTGTATTATTCCTACTTCTTTGAGAAGATTTCCCACATGCCTCTGTCTTTGCACTGAGGGAAGCATTCCTACTCTTTTGGATTGAATTTGGTCTCTTGTTTTGCTCTTTGTAAGCTGGGTTTCAGAAGTTCTTTTGGTTGTTTGAGATCTCTTTCAAAACATCAAAGGGAAATTTATCATTGCTCCTTTTGGATTTTAGTGTACTTTTGTCCTTTTCGTAAGTGTAAATAGCGCTTTTCTAGAAGAGCTGGTAAGCGAGAGAGGAAGGAAATTTTGAAGGAGATTGGGGGTTGGAGAGGATTTAGGAGGAAAGAGGGGGTTAAGGATGAAACTTGTGGGGAAATGAGGGGGTTGGATTGGTTTAAGAATTTTGTAGGGGAGATGATCTTACTCCGTATTTAGTAAATTTGGATTTCTCTTTGGTTAATTTGTTCAAAAGACTTTGAGATTTTTCCCAGATTTCATCGTTTAGCTTTATTTGATTTTCTCTTACTAAATCTGTATGAGTTGAGCTATGTTTCAGAGCTTTCAAGTTATTGATCCTTTCAGTTTGGGGAATATTTGAAGAGATGCTTAGACCATTTTGAGCTCTTGAATCTATAAAATTCTGCTTTATTCCTAATTTTGTAGGCTGAAGTCCTTCTAAAGATTTGGCTGAAAGAGATCCTTTCTGCTTTACTTCCAAATTAGAGTATGGAAAGGCTCTTTTCTTCTTTTCTTCTGCTTTAAAGTTTGGTGTGTTCTGCTTACACATGTAAGGATCTTCAATTCTGTAAGGGACATCAGTGTAGATATCTTTTACATCTTCCTTTGATTGAGAATCTCCTTCGATATCCTTTTCTTCTTTAGATGTATTTCAATCACATTTAGAACTCTCATGGTCTATTTTGTGTGTATAAAGGCTATTAATCATATTTGACGAGAATTTTATGACATCTTCATCAATTCTTGGATTATCTAAACTTAAAAAGTAGTAATACCGCGAAGGATCTCTGAAGGAAGGTCAATGATTATATCTCTCAACTTTCTATTGTATTTTGATGCACAGAAAGTTTCGATATCCTTTACAAGATGATTAATTTCATGCATTCTCCGATAAGCCATTTCAAGACCTTGACGATCTTGTAGTAGTGCTTCATAGTCGCTGATCTGATCGAGTAAGTCTTGTTTAGATTTTTGATTTTCTTTATAAATCTCATTTGCTCTTTGAGCTACTTCTTGAAATATTTGGGTAGTTTTGTTTCTAAATCCGAGATGAGTTTTATAAAATTTATAAATACTAAAATGTATCTAAACATACATCAGCTCAATAGTCTCTTGCTGGAAATTATCTTGAAGTAGCATGAACTTAATCCTGGCTAACTCATTCTTGGTCTTGGATCAAAACTGATTATAAGCGAGGAACTCTATGTATCTCGCTCTGTTGAATTCCTTCCTAGGGGCTGCTTGTCTAAAATCTTCTGTCTCTAATTTTATCACAGCTTTGGCTAAAGGTAACAGTTTTCCATACGATTTAAGCTTGGCTTCTTTTTGTCTGACTGTGGACTAAAAATTAGAACAAGCAAGGTACGGGTTCTTTACTGTCCTTTGGACATTTTAGTTCCTTCGCTTGGTTCATTCTTAATTGCTATAAAGGTTAGCAACTGGGTACTTCTTGGAAATATCTCTCGATTCTCTGGCCAAGGTCGCCTTTGTGATGCTTGCTTTTCATAACTAAAAATAACAGTGAGAGAGGTGATAGTAGGCGAGGAGTTAAAGGGTACTTACCGTTAGATTTAGAAAGATTAGGTTTTAATATTTAATATTTTTAAATTAGAATAGGGGTTTTGGGGTTTTGGGGTTTTGGGGTTTTGGGG